CGAGAGCCGCAGCGGCGCGCACGTGGCCGCGGGGCCAGCCCGGCGAGCGCTGGGAGAAGGCGCTGGGCAGCGGCTCGGGGAACCCGGGGAGAGGGCAGGAGGAGTTGCTTAAAAATAACAATTTAAAAAAAAAAACAACACTTGAACTTCTTGGCCAAGTCTCCTTAGCTGATCGCGGCTGTTGGAGAGGCCAGAGATGGGTGTGGAGCAGTGCGGGTCCAAAGATAACGCGTGTCTCTTCGAGTTTCTCTTGGAAAATAACCAGTAACTAAGTTTTACAAAGTTAGGATCATATTTTAGATGTTGATGTCCTCGTTTAATGAAATGTAGAGTGAGCAAACGTTCAATGAGCTTGGGTATTTATTTATTTAGTTATTTGGGGTTTGTATTGTTTGAGTCAGCGTCTCCCTGTGTAGCCCAGGCTGGCCTCGAACTTATGGCGATCCTCTTGCTACCTCGCCCTAGAATACAGGCCAGCCTGGGTGTTTGCTTGAAGGTGCCAGGGTGCAATTCTGCGAGGCACACTGGCTGGGTTTCTTGTTTGTTTTTTCTCGCAGGACTCCTGTGAATGTCTTATCTTTCACAGCGCTCCAGAGCAGACCAGGTTAAAAAAAAAAAAAAAGAAAGAAAGAAAATTTTTTTCTATCATCAAAGCAGCCATGTTAGGATGATTCAGAATAAAATGTAACCTGTAAATACGGGCATGAACAGCTGGCAAAGACATAAGTGAGAGTTCAAACTGTGTTAAAAATGGAAAAACTGAAGCCCAAAGAGGTTAAGTTACTTCTACAACAGATTCAAGACCCTCTGATTTGAATATATCAAAGGTATCTAATGACACTTATAACTCAGTGTACATTTTGCATTTTTTTTAGGGATTGAACCCAAGGCCTTTGAACTGAGCTGCATCACCAACCAGTTTTAAGGGCTTTTGAGATAACATCTTTCTAAGTTGCCTAGGCTGAACTCAAACTTGAGTTACTCCTGTCTCAACCTTCCTGCACCTTATACATTGCTTTAACATAATGTATAATCTAAGTGCACTAGTAATACTCTTTGAGTATTAAAAATTCTCTATGTAAAGTATTTAATTGCTTATCTATGTTAGCAATAACATAAACTCTAAAGTGTTAAGATCTTTAGCCATCAAAGCAATTCCCTGCCTTGGCTAATTTATTAGTGACAATGTAAGGAAATAGGCAGGGTACATAGTGTTAGCCCCATTTCCCCACGAGGACTTGTAACTCAGAGAATTTGAGTTTTCTCCAGCAAGGTCACTCAGTCCTCAGCACAAAGTCTACTTTGAGGTAAGGGTATGTTCTTTGGGGTGGAGGGGAAAAGATTGGCTGGACTGCAGGCTTTTGACCATCAGTCTAGGCTTTGTTGCATATATCTTGCTGCCCCCATGATCTCTGTCACACTTACTAGTTATTCTGCTGCAAGGGCTCCCTCAGAATGGCCTGGACTCAGCAAGCTCCCTGCTGCAGTAGCCCAGTTCTCTCTGGCCATAGGCTGGGACTTCCCACCTACACATTAAGAATGAGACCTTTTGACTCTGGCTAACACCTACAACACCCTCAAGGGAGAACCAGCCTTTAAGGTATTGTACAAACCTCAACTCTCATCTTAACCTACTAGTATGTAAGAAGTATAGCTTAATGATCTTTACAGTCAAAGTAAAAGTCCCAAAGTGTCACATTCTCTTGCTGGGAAGGCTGGCGTTCCTCTGCTTAAGGTTGGAGGGATACAGGTGAGCAAGCTAGGCATGGCCCTAAAAAGTGAGGAGAAAGGCTAATAGGACATTGCTACACAGTCTGACGTCATTTCAATCATGGTAACATCAACACTTGCACTACTGGAACGTTCTAAAAGTTTTACCAGACTTTACTTTCCGTGAGCAAACAAGATCACTTTCATCTTTCCTCCTAGTTCAGCAAATCAGTCTTCTGTGAATCAAAAAGTCCATCTAGAAAGCCCTAGGTTTTAACTTCTGAAATTTTCTCACCAGCTATTCTGTCATGACTAAGATCTACCACTCTATATATATGGAGTTGTTTTTTTTTTTTTTCTTTCATTGTAGAGTAATAGTTCTTAAGCCTCCTCTTTCCTCCCTCTTTGGGATTATAATGGAAGTTAGGTATTATTTTCCCAGAATTTTTTTAAATGTGTACCCCCACATAATTTTGTGCTCAGGGTCAGCAGGTTAGTGGCTTCTGTGACTCTTCAGCCATCACCCTCCTGGGCAGTACAACTTCATACTCCAAGCCTGGCAGGAAGAAACAGTTGGAGTAGGTGAAAGTGGTATGCAAACTCTTTACCTTCTCCTGCACTAGACACCTCCCTCCTTAACTAGTAGGAGTCTTTGTTGTTTGAACCATTGGCCACTACTTAGCTGAGCTGCTGATTTTAATGGCTTCCTTGCTTTAGTGCTGGGCCTCCAGCCCACAATGGAAGAGCAACAGCCAGAGAACTGTGGTGTGTTTTTAGCTCCATCACTGCAAATCCTTGTGCCTCCTTTTTCTTATTCTCCCAAGTGAGCGATGAGGACTGAATCACTTCTTAAACCCCTTAAACTGAGGAAATTCTGTGAGTCCAGAATAATTATCCAAATCCCTTTCATGTAGCTCCTAAGGGAACTGACCTTTCTGAGTTCGTATCCTCTATGTCCAGCAAAAGTTAGAGTATGAACCACTGAAACTTGCTATAGGATATAATTGGTCTTTCACTGATCTCAACTGGGTTCAAACTTGGTACATGTTTCCTGAAAATGGATAGAGTAAAAACCATGCAAAACACTTTTTTCGAGGGAAAATATTAAAATTTCAAAAGCTGCTTTTTATCCCACCTTTCTACGGACAACTTTCTTATATATAAGTTCATGTACGTAAACAGATAAACATACATTTTAGAGATAATAAGCAGTAACTTTTATGTATACACATATTTATAAATACATATTGCTTTTATCAGGCTCTTAAGGAAAGCAGTGCTTTTAATTTGGTCTCTGCTGTGTGATTCTCAGCAGCCACGAGACCCTTTTCTGCCCTCTCCATCAATCAGTGTCTTTGAACTTACAGTATTCAGGGCCTCCAACAAAACCACCTCAAAAGCACACTCGCCCTCAGATTAGCACATTGCATGTCAGAGCAGCTGAGCGTCCTCACTCACCATGCTAATGTAGAGGAATACGTACTTGATTTCTAAAATTACCATCCTTGCACAGAACCACACACTTGTGCAAAAATTAGGCTTCACATCAACGCGGTGGCTGTAGCTTAACTCAAATTGTGACTATCTGTGTTCATTATGACCAGGTAAAATTAAAATTATAACCAGGTATGGGTAAACAGGGCCAACGCGCCCAACAGTAGAAAAGATTAGTGACGAATATCAAATAGGTGCTTTAATGAAATGAAGCTGATGATTAGATAAAGGGAAACAGTGATGTTCGATTACATTTGTGCCATTCCTCCATCAGTGAGCGCATTCTGTCCAAAGTATTGTTTCCTGGCTGGGTTTACAAAATGCTGTGGTCCTTTATGTGCCTGTCCCCCCCAGCCAGACTGCCCAGTGTGCAGCCCGGCTGCTCCTTCTCCCCTACTGTAACCTTAGGAAAATCATTTCCCCTGCCCGCGCCTCACTGTCCCCGTGTGTACATGGGGAGAATACTAAAATTCTTTCCTGAGGCTGTGAAGAGGAATAACCAAGTTAGGATACATCAAGCAATCAGAATGCGCTGGCATGGAAGCAGTCCCGTGTGAGTATATGCTATTATCATGTATAAATTAATTGTATAAGTGGATGATCTTGTCCATTTCAAGAAACCAACTTTGAAAGTGAGATACACATTCAGAGAAAGTAAATATGTGTGTATACAAGCATCTCTAAAAATTCTTGATGCATTTTAAAGAATCATTAATTTTAGATTTTGTGCTGTTTGGGGGGATTTAGGATTGAACCCAGGGCCTCTCCTGTATCCCCAGCCCTTTATATATTTATTTTGAGATAGAGTCTTGATAAGTCACTAAATTACCCAGGCTGCACTTGAACTTTCAATCCTCCTGCCTCCTTAATTTAGTAATTTTCAACAGTTATGAAATTCATATGTTTACTTCACCAAAAGAAAAACTCATAAAATACTTCAGAACAATTTTTCCAACGAAACATTTTATGTACCTTTTAACGATTAGTTTATGACTCTGAGGTCGGGATAAACCAAACAACTCTTTTAATTTGGCTTATACAGACTTTTCAGTAACCTCTAATCTATATGATGATTCAATTATGAAGTAGTAAATCTGTCTGGACTTGTCCATGTAAAATGGCAAGGTTACCATGTGACAGATGTCCAGATATTTACAAGGTCCTCCCTAAGCATTGATTACTAGTGTCACTGGTACTATGGCTAACATCTTTCAGCCTTGATTATGAGCCTGGTAACCAACCTTACATGTGTTGTGTCACTTCATCTCCACAATGGACTTTCGTAGTAAAGTCATTGTCTCCATTTAAATAGGAGAAATTAAGACTCAAAGAAGTCAAAGTGTCAAGTGACACTCAGGTAGTAACATTAATAAACTCTAGGGTAAAACCCAGGCAAGTTGAAACCAGAACAAGGAATACTCTTCCCTTAGGTAGACATACTAACTGTTACCTTTTGCCTCATTGCTTTACTTCTCCCTGTCCTTGCCTCTCCTTATCTCTCTGTGTTTATATTGTACACACAGACCTGAAACCTCACCTCTAAATGCTTTGACACATATCCCTTAAGAACAGTGCCAGTTCTACACGGTGAAAGCACATGATTATGGCATTCAAATATGGTTCGAAAAAGTAGAGATAAAACCCAGTTTTCACCCACAAGTCCAGATTTTCCAGATTTACCCTGATTATACTTTGTGGACTGAGATCCATGCCTCACAAGGGTCCATTACTAATCTGGAATACTAACAACTCTTAATATAGCTCCACATTTACAAGGTTCTGCTACACTAGTCTGCTAAGAACATTGCATATCACATTTTACTGAAACGCTTGTACTAAATCCAGGTCTGCTGTGCAGAAAAAATGCCTAATCTCAATTCATAGTATTACTGAAAGTTGGCTCCATATCCAGCACAGAGGTAAGACCCACTTTCTGCCCTCACGTATGACTCAGAGCTATGGAAGAGACATGTGATCATCTCCATGCAGTGTGATGAGTGGGTAGAGAAAGAACTAGCCACATTGGGAAACAGAGAGAGCCTAGCTGCTAGGAGTGGGATACCTGACAAAGAACCTTTAGAAAGAGTGGGCAAGTCCATTTGAAGAACGATTTGGCGTAGATATACCTAGTGCCTCAGTGTGTGCTGATCTCAGGATGACATCTTGGGGAGCACCATCAGTAACCCTTATTTGGTTTGCTAAGGTACAGAGTAAAATGCCATACAGCATAAAACATAAATAGTGTGGGTCTTGCCTTGTAACTGAGAGTATCCCGTATTTGGAACATTATAAGACACTCATTTTTAACAAGGCAAAGTCAAACCTTCTGTTTACAGAACTTGCTCAGTTTGTCAAACATAATTTTCATTGCACAAATTCTTCCTTGCTTGGGGCCATTATGGTGTGTGGAAATAGAAAACTACGAATTGTGGCTTGTCAAAGTAGGAAAGCAAATTTTCCCTGTGATTTAGACATATGGACATTACTCACCACAACTCATAAGTTCCGATGGGTGTGTTTCATTGAGACAGCATTGAGAGTTAATGCTGTGAATCCAAGTGCACGGAGGCCTTACAGAAGAGGAGCCTCTTAAAGAGTGACAGAGACTATTCCAGAGACAGTAACTGCCATCACATTTTCTTTTCTCCAGGGTGGAAGAAAAGAAAGGCTCTAAAAAAAATAAATTATAAACAAAATGAAAAAAGTTATTATTAAACAAGAAGATGAGGAGAAAGATCTAGGGATGGGGGAAAGGAAAGTGTGAGGGGAGACAGTAATGATTATCAAGATGCGATATGCATATATGCTAATTCACCAAGATGATTGCAATTATTATCAGAAACATATATTAAAAATAGAAAAATTAATTAAAAAGTTGCCCTATGGAAAGATGATATTTAAAAGTTTAAATTTGTAGGCACATGGGGAACCTTTTACATAAATAGGAAATAAGAATGGCCATCATTTAAAGCAGCAGAATGCATCCCTCCCTGAGCTCGCTCTTGTTTTTATTTGTGATTGTTTTATAACATTTTAACAGCGTTTGGGCCCGTAGCTGAGCCACTGTGAGGTCAGGGTACTGAGGAAGTCATCCCTCCCTGGGACACGCCAGTCCTGGGGGGTGGGGACAGGGCTGGCACAGCTCCTATTTCAGCAGCTTACTCTGCTGCACTGACTCTGGGGAAAAATTCCTAACCTGTTTTTTTCCACACCCTTATCTCAAAAGTGAAGGTATTAATCACTGTCCATAATAAAATTATTGGAGAAGTTACTTAGTTTGTAAATAAGTTCCACAAGTCATTTCAGTAAAAACTTCCTGGTTTTAAAACTGGAGAAAACAGATATAATCCCCAAAAGCCAGTATTTTTTCTCTTCCGTGCATTCACAATTAGATGTTCACTCAGTGGAATGGCTACATAGCAATTCTGCAATATCTAATATCTAATTTGGCTTTCTTCTGAGACAGTTCAAAACTATTTCACTTTTTTGTTGTTTTGATTAATATCATTTGCAAATTCTTGAACTACATAAACGTATGTTGTAGTAATGCTGTTTAATATACAGATGGTTCTTTTCAACAAGGAGCTCTTAATTTAGAAATAATAGTTATTTTCAATAAATAGCTTTTAATTAGAAGTAGTAAGTCAAGGGAACTAGATTTGTACCAAAGTGTATGAAAGAATATATCACAACATAATTTTATAATTTTCCCTTGCAGTGGCTTACACAGGTAATTTTTCTTCAATATAAAGCTAATGATGTGAAGTGCAATCTTATTAACTAAGAGTTTTTTCTATACAGCGATCATTTTACTTTTAGAAGCTGCACTTGTGTGCTTTAGAAGATGTAACCACCACTGCTTACAGTCTTGGTAGTAGCCCACACCAATTCCTCCTCAATAACAGAACTTGTGAATGCCAGAGGAATAATAATATTCTGCCCCCATTTCCTAACAGCAGAAAGTTGACTTGTCTTTACAATCAGTTACTGACACATAACACATACTATTCTACAGAAAACAGGTGATAAACTTTAAACAAATAAACAGACCTTAAATATACAATTTTTCAATAAAAATAGTATTTCAAACCCCATTCTTCCTTCCACAAATAACTTATTTGCATTTCAAGAAGAGACCACCTGTGACCTCACCTCCCACTTTGGTTCTCCCACCATAGAGGATGGTTCTGATAGTAAGAAACTCAGACAAAGTAGAAGGAAAGCACCAGGACAGACACAAGGTATTTAAAGGAGCAGATCTTTGGGGTGTATTGTTTGCGTGCCCTTCAGCTTTTGGCCCTAGGTCAAAAAGTAACCAACAAATTGTTGTTATGCCGAAGATTAGCTATGAATATGTCCAAAATTCCTCAGGATCTTTACATATCTGTATTAATCCTTATTGATGACATCCATGACCTACCCCAACACTCTAGCTTCAGAACACAGAGAATGAAAATAAGTCCTAGTGGGAAAGTCAGAATCTGCTTCCACATATACAGATATACGCTAATTGCTTTTAGTAAGTAGATCCATGTAGGAATCAACTTTGACTTCCATTTGAATGGCTGTGCTTTTGACAGGTACCCACACAATTAAAGTGGGACAAAGTTTAAAGGAAATTAGCTAAACTCAATCATTTCAATTTTCAAAAGCATGATGATATTTCTTTTCATCTATTATATTGACTTTAGAGCTAGACTTTGTATTGCTGTATCAACATAGGATCGTCTCTTTTCATAGAAATAGATATGTGTTCACTTTATAACAACAAATTAATAGTTTCCAAATATTTTGAGATTTCAAAGGGAATAGTTATCTCATGATGGCTTTAGCTATGAAATTCAACCACTGACGGTTTAAAAACATTCTTATATCATGCAGTTGCTTTGATAGGCAAATATTAAATTGTTGGTGCTGAGAATAAGCAGCAAAATTTGAAGACAGAGATATATAAAATTGAGGGAGGATAGAAATTATGATTCTTATGTAAAAACAGATCCTTACAAGATGAATAGAGTTAAGGAGATGAATGGTGGTGTTGATTGCAGAACATTACAAATGTGCTGAATATCACTGAGTTGTAAACTTAAATATGATTAATATGGTAAATATTATCTGTAATTTATCACACAAAAATTGAAAAAGAGATCAAACCTAGGCTATATTCTTCTCTGAATATATAACATCCAATAACATCTTCCCTAGCAAATCAATAAGGTAAGAATAAAAAGATATTTGGAAATCCTATACCTCCTTTACTCCCAAAAAAATCATCCTTCACAAAAGCATAATTTAGGAGAAACTTTCCTGAATATGCTTTCAGATTAGATCTTATTCCCAGAGGAAGAGTAACCTGCCAAATAATGAAAGGTATTTGGTACTATTATTTGTCTGATGTAAAGCGCTTCATCTTATTAGGTTCTTATCCAAGGTGAGGATTGGTTTTGAAATTTACACAGTAACAGTTCTTTCAAGCACTAGATTTAACACGGCATCTATTCCCAGCTATTGAAAGGCACGTTGCTACAATAAAACCTACCGACAATGGATATTTCATACAAAAGGTCAAAGGCTTTTGTGAAGGGAGGAGTGCAGAACTACCTAAGCAAGACCCTAGTCCCATTTATCTTGTATAATTCACAATAATTTCTCTTGTATTGCTATGCACTGCAAATTATGCTTGCTGTATTCTTACCATTTTGGGTTGATGCAGTCACTATTAATTGCCAGGTCTATAATTGTGTATAATTCTTCTGCCACTCTACCAGCTGGCAGGGGTATTAACTCCAAACAGAGCCCTTCCTTTCTTTTTGCTTTATGACATCATCCTCTGCCAAAGCCCTGGCTAGCAGACCAGCCTATCCTGTCTGTGATCAGTAGTATCCACTCAGGTGCGCAGCAGCTCTGTTCTTGACTGACAGCAACGTTGAAAGCAAACACACCTTCCACTTTTAGGAGGTGGGAAGTTTATTGAATATATTTTTTAAGATGTTCTTGGATATTTTCTCCTCAACTCTGTTTATTGAAGTTAATGTTTTCATCTGTGTTTTAATATTTTGTTGCTGTTTTCATCTGTGTTTTAAAAGAGACTTATGATTGTGTAGCATACTTAAACAAGCCGCTGATTTCTCTGCACTTTTATAAATTCATCAGACCTATACCACAGTTTGTGTTTGGGCCTTAAGAACAAGACCTGTGTGACACTTTATTTCAGCATAGCTTTAGCATGTGAACCCATGAAGAATTGAAAGCTGTTAGAATTTTTAATATAGTACAACTATCAAAAAACCTGGTACCCTGGTCCATTTTCAGAGTACTCTAATTAGGCAATTCATATGGTAGGAAAAGGTAAAAGAGGAAAAATTTTATTATACAAAATATAACTTTTAGTACTCGTACTCAGATGTCACATTTAAAGAATAGGAGTAAAATTTATGGGTAGAATATTATCAATCAATTCACAATGTATGTGTATTATCCATATATATGTACACAAATATATATACTCATATATGTCTTTAAGAGAAAGTGGAATTATATTGGGTAAGAGAAAGTGGAATTATACTGGTTGAGTGGAGCTAACACCTAAGATTAATGTGCATGTACTGAGCATTTTCTGTGTCTAAGGCACCATAAAGAGGAAAAAGTCATTATGTTTACAATATTTTTTACTGATAGTCTATAAAAGGAACTAAAATCCTGAACTGATACTGTCTATTTCAAATCCTTTCATCATGAAATGAATTCATCTCAGGAAACAGCAAAGTTTTAAAAAAATACTATCAGTAAGTATGATATGTTTCCTCGGTTTGGAAATTTCCAAACCACGATATTCTCCCCTGTCAAAATATATTCACTGGGGAATTTTTAACTTTATACATTACGTTTGAACTTGCTCACATTTTTACATCTAGCTGGTTTCATTATTAAATAAAAGAAAAGGTGATTCCCCTCCGGTACTCAAGGAGACCACACACATGAATGATACTCTTAACTTCTAGGTTCTGTAATACTAACACTGAAACCAGAAACTTACGAGAGAAATGTCACTTTATCTGAAAGAGAAAAGTCTGACTGTAACAGGAAATAGCCAATTCATCTTTTTTTTCTGATCAAATCTTTGCTGAAGACAAGTCATTTGAAACACAGAACACTCTTTAAGTCACACTCCTATACATGGATCAAAACCAAAGCCGCTGGGTCATGCTTTCCCAAAGGAATCTCTACATAGCAAATGAAGAGATTTTTAGAAGTACTCATTTATAGACAAGACCTGCATTGTCTATATCATATTTCCTGAAAGAATAATAGTAAAACTTCAACTACGTACTCCAGAATAAAAATCTAGCCCAAATCCTTTCATATAAAGGTTAATTCACTTTTAATTTTTATAAAGTACTATTTAATATTTTTGTCTTTTACTTAACTTGCCTAGCTCCTCAGTGGGAAATAAATTAGAGTACATAATCAAACTATCTCCTTTTCATTTTAGCATTTGCGGACTTTGAAGAGTGGTTTTCTTTGTTTTTTTAAGGAAAATGATACATATGCATAAATTATTCTCAACTACAGAATAGAATTTATAATTTTAGAAAGTCTTCAAATATGCTTAAAAGTAATAGTATTATGTCTCACTTGCCAAGTTCTCTACCTTTTTCAACAAATTACTTCCTAGGATTTAATGAGCTGTAAAAGAAAATAAAGACTATTTTGCATTCAGATTTATATCCTATCACTCCATCTTTATTACTGCATGTGCATACGCAACTATTTTTTCTCTTTTTGCAGGTGTCGCAAATCAGGAAGGGGAAATCTGTGGTTTAAATTCTTTATGCCTCATCCTGTAAGTGCTGGAGGCTTGCTGTAGGCTGTATGCTGTTAATGCTAATCGTGATAGGGGTTTTTACCTCTGAGTGACTCCTACATGTTAGCATTAACAGGGTATGATGCCTGTTACTAGCATTCACATGGAACAACTTACTGCCGTGGGAGGATGACAAAGAAGCATGAGTCACTCTGCTGGATAAGTGAGACTTCAGGCTTTATCACTGTTAAATTTGTTAATCTGGTCCTGGGATGTTCCACTTTAACTTTTAAGAATAAGGTCATTTAAAAGATTTATCAGCAGTATCACAAACAGACATTTGTACTTTAATCTTCAAGCCCACACATTGATATTTTTAAAAGAAAATATAGTGGCATTGGTTTAAATTCAAAGTAATGGTTTGTTTATTACAGAATCACTGTTCATAAACATTTTTAATGGTTCACCTACAATACACGCTAAGCACACTGTAACAAATTTCTGTAGTATCTCCATAGTTAAAAATTAGACTGCCATTCTCCAGTTATATTGTGTATTGTCTGGAAACATTTTTTATGAAAGACTTAGAAACTGGCATTTTCCCCAGGTAATAATTTTCTATTCAGACATCTTCAATTTAAAGTTAATACTTTTATTTGAATCTTAAGAAATGAAACTATGTGTCTAATGAAATATTGTTAACAAATTACATGGCAAATAACATTTGAGAGCTACCTGCCTTTTCCATACATGACACAAAGCTTTAATTTTTCTAAATTCATATTTCAAATGAAGTCCCAAATGTAGGCTCAAGTTTAGTAGCTAAACCACATAATTATATAGTGGAAACAGAGAATCCGCCTTTCCTCTCTAAGCCTGTTTTTCATCCATAAAATGGGGTTAAAACGCTACAAAGTTGGTATGAGGCTTACATGAGATACAGAATTATTTTTATAAGATGATAAAGTGCTACATTAAAGCTGTAGTAAAATTAATCCAGGAATGAGTTCCCCTACTTCATTAGCTAAAAGTTAATGATTTGGTTTACAGACTTCTTAAGGTTTGGATTTGTACTATTCTCCACAACTAATTATATCACACAGACCTAGCCATTTGTACTTGTGAGCATATTTCATGTGCACTTATTTGAACAATTCTCAATGTTTTGTCAAATAATTCACTGTAACCCAATAAATTGCATGAGTCTTTAGTTGATTTAAAATGATACTTGATGGCCCTTTTCCTTTTGTAATTGCGATGTAATTACAATTACAAATTGTAATTTCCGAAGATATATACTCGGAAGACAAAGGGAAGACATTCCAAGGATAGTTAAGGGATGATCCTGACGGCTAGAACACAGTATTCTCATAGAAGGTCACTCCCTTGGCCTCACTCCTTTCCTTTGAAGTGTGTGCTACCAAGATAAAATTCTCCTCTTCGCCCCTAGGATGACATGGCTCCATGGGGCTCCCACACGGGTCCATCACATTTGAGGGTGTTTTCCCACACGGTTCATTTGATCTGTCACGTGTTCAAAAGGAATGCATGCCTTGAGACCCAATTCTTTAAAATCCAACTTGCTGCCTACAGCCACAAGGTCACAAATGTTAGGACTGGGGTAGCCTATTGTAATGTTACCTTCCTATTGTTATAATAAGTCTGAACGTCACAAAGACACTTTAAGAAAAACTGCGCTGTGAAATGCTGTGTTTGAAAAGTACTGGACTCTCATATGAACCTCAGGCAAGTTACTTGATCTCTCCTCAGTTTTTTTCTCATCAGTAAAATTGGAATGGAATACTGGACGTAAATGGAATACTTAAATGGAACACTGCATGTAAAGGCCACAATGTCTTTTGTACTAAATGTTAAATATAGGTAAATGCAAACTTTAAAGCTTTCACATTCATTCATCTAAATCAAATGTTCTACCACAGGAGATATACCCAAGGACTCCAGATCCAGCCTTACATAATCCTGCAATAACAACCCAGAGAACCTAAATAGTGCAAAGATTAGTTGAGCTTTTCTCTTATGCCCAACTCTCCTGAGCTTTTGTTTGTTGATCTCCTGGTCTTAGATGGATTCTTCCTGACCAGTATATTCAGTTATTTCAAAAATTCTTGGAGCATGAATAATACTGGGTGTGTATTTGAGTTGGAGGGTTAGTAAGAAGGGGTGTGTGTGTGTGTGTGTGTGTGTGTGTGCGCGCGCGCGCGTGCACGTGGATGCATGTGAAGGACAAACTGAGCTTTGTTTAAGGGAATGGGAGTTCTCTGGGGACTGAAGAAGGTAAAAGCAACCCAATTTCGTATGCAAAACGTTGGATTAAATGAAATACTATGTGGCACATGATTTCTTTTTGAAAAATTGCAGAATATCAAGAGAATTGTCTAGAATCTGACCCACTTCCCCAGAAATTTGCTGAATTTGAAACCAGGCCTTTTCTTCTCTCTTTTGCCAGTTAGGCAGACCCGGTAGTTTAACAAAGAAGAAACTGAAGTCAGAGGATTGAAGTTTAGGAAACATTTTATATTAAAAATTTTCTGAAAATAGAAGGGGTAGACAAACCCCAGAGAAAGCAAGGAAACTTAAAGAGGAAAAAGGAGCTTGAAGAAAAATAATGAGTCCATAAATGTAAAACATACACTGAAAGTTGACCCTGTCAGTGCTTCTCTATAGGTAATGAATAGAAAACAGTGAAACTAACAGGTAAAACTTGCACATGAGTTCGGCTTTCTGCTTTTGGTTTCACATCCTCCAACAGCAGTGAGGATAAAGGGAATAATGTTGTCACTGGGGTTCTTTTCACTGTTACTACTGTATTTCAAAAAGTCTAAATGTGCCAGCATTAGTTTTCACTGGCTGAACAAATATAACTACTAAAGTTTTTAAGTAGGTTCGCCAGTGTCATCACAATTATGTCCTCTATCTTCAGTCACACTCGTCCACTCTTCTCTGCAATG